TCCCGTCTTATCTTAAGATAATTGTCCAGAAGAATTTGGAAACAAAGCTGCTGGTGGGAACAACAAGTGCAATTTAATATCCTAATAACAATAATATCTTTATATTTATATCACAAAGAGTTTCACATAGCCAAACTGAGAGCAGATATAATCAAAACATTAAAGTACTAAACTAACCAAAAAGTTGTTTTTCAAAGGACAGAACTTGCAAATTAAATCAGATATGGCGGTGGGATAATATTATGTAATATATTATTATAAAATAATAATAAGGCCTACATTAAATAAGCCGCTGACACTGTTATTTCCTAGGCCTTAACCAGCTGTTTTTTTCCAAAATACATCTAGACAAACAAACTGACATTGTTTCAATTAAAGAGAAAGTCAATAATTGCCCTTTTCCTTTCCTATTTTTGTGTGAGGATATTAACACCACAGCAGAAACAGTGAAGTTGGAAATTACTCGTCTTTTATATGCTTTATTTTGCACTCAACTCTTACTGGCTGCTTCACAATTAAAACCACATTAAAAGTTACATTTTTGTGCTGAGCAGCAGAAGTAGAACATAATTGGTTAGCAAGACTAGTCATTTGTCTTGAAACCTTGGTGTGTGTGAACCCTACTTGAATAGTAAGGCTTAATCTGCCATAAACCATGAAAACTACCCGATGCAAATGTATTTCTAAATGTAAATGGTCGGACAATGAATGCTATCAAAAATGGGTTTCAAGAGCTCACTTTTTTATGTTCAATTATGATGAAGAAATCACCTTGTCTTTCCTTTTCACAGATCCGGTGGTGTTTCCCTGGCTGTCAGAGGATGTGGCCTTAACAGATTTCTTCCACCCATTATTCTCAGTGTGTGTGTGTGTGTATATGTGGACATGTCTGTGTATGGTCCGTTCAAGTTTCAAGATGCACATTCACACACTCGTACACACATGCATACTGCCAAAACTGACACAGCCTGTTTGTCGCACTCCCAACCATGACTACAAGCTCAAATGTGAAGAACTTTTTTTAGTTTTTGCTTTGTTTTATACATGTAAAAAAATACATCTTCTTCTTGGTTTCCACAAGATGATGGAACACCGGAGAACTTTTTGTCCTGCCACAAATTGGGACTTGACACACTGCCGAGAGGTGCTCTTGTGAGGGAGAGGAGACCTAAACAAACACAAATTGAATCATGGATTTGTGCCTAATTGTTACATGTTTTCTATTTGACATTTAAGCAAATTGCTTTACATGTGAGGAACATTTATTGTGAGGGATTGCTTATGTGTATGAGCAATTATTTTTAATGTATGTCATTCCCAGCGTGATGGTACAGTCTTACATATGTTATGTAACCAAGCCCATAGTTGAAGTTGAATTGTCTAAATTCAGTGACTTTTCCTTGATCTTATCAGCAAATGTTTGGGGGGAAGGAAATGGAAAGGTCAACGTCTTGACAGTTCGAAAGACGGAAACTCTGACGTAGAGAAAGTCTCTGACTGAAGCCAGGTCTCATCCCTCGGGGCATCCGAAGCCTTGGAGTAAAAATAATCCTTCCTTGAAGGTTATGAGTTATCCAATCGGTAGAGTCTGTCAACTACAAAACTGTTCTTCCTATTCGTTGACTACAAATTCTAGTGTTACTCCACTTATCCCTCGTCACAGGTTCAGGTTTTTGTACTGCTTTATATACTAAAGCATACTTAGAGAAGACAAAGCACAGTTATAAGTTTAGGCTGAAAATTAAGTGTCCACCTGTTGTGCATTCAGTCCATGAACGTCTTTTTATAAAAAGCCATTTGAGACTCCTGCTAAGTGATCAGCACCACTTAGTGCTCTTACTTACTTAAAATGGTTTATTTACAATGCCAGCAGACTTTACAGCTCAAGTTTCCCCCCCCTTTAATTAATGTTCTGTAAAAGACACACAAATCTGGGTTCCTTTGACGGGATCTCAACAATCCACACATGTTTGAAGCAGACGAGCCTCTGTTTAACGGAGGCTTCCTTTTCCTAAATGAGCATTCCCACTGAATTACAGCCCCTCACCTTCCTCCTGAGTACGTTTGTTCTCGTGTTTCTTACCGAGAGAAGTGTGACGTGTCAATTCACTTCATACATTACTCTGATATGTTTCATTTTTCAAAAATTAAATATATATAAAAATATATATTTTTTGTTAGTCTATACATTGTAGATTTTTTACATAAATGGCAATATTAGTTTGAAGTTTAGAGTGTATTGTAGATGAGCTGAAAAGGGGAACTATTTGACATTTGAAATGGAATTGTTCAAAAATTTACTCATTTGAACGGGATGGCAGAGGTAAAAAGGGCAACAGATTATGAATGAAAAAGTGTTTGGGGTATCCTTGATTCCAGTTTAAGTTGAAAGGCGTACCATGAGCTACCCAGATGAGTTTTTTTTTTTTTTTTTTTTTTTTTCATTTGGGGGCATGTGGACAGAGATTGTCCTGTTGAAGTGGTCTTACTTATCGGTGAGGCACTGAGGAATAATGTGGGAAGATTTTTGTCTCCAACAGTAATTATGCAACTGGTTTTTGAATGTAGCTACCATACAAATGTGGATCACCTTCATCGTCAAAGTTGTGTTCCTGGGTTTTGTCAGTAGGGTCAATTAGTTAATTTCACCTTTTTATAATGTTTGCCCCCAACTAAGTGGCTCTCAGTGTGCAGATCACTTTTTAGTAACCTGCACATTAATTTTGGAGGCAGACAGGAGTATTTGGGTGTAAAATAATGGAGAACAAAACAGTGTTATTGTGATGTTATACCCATGTCATGTTGTGAATGGTTTTTACCAACATGTAATCACATATGGGAGGTAGAGCATTTTGTGTTTAATTTCTACAAAAAGAGATGAAGAAAAAGACCTATACAAATCAATAGTGTGGCCTTTTCATTCTCAAGACTTAAGATGACATGATGGGAGAGTGATACCTTATCAGTGCCTGAACTTGTATTTTCATTTAAGACCGTTTTATTTTGTGAACCATATCATTTCATTTATCATGGAGATTAAAGAGGTACTTGTTCATTCCCCCACCCTCCCTTCTCCTAATGCTTTTTTCAATTTTCAGGAAGAAGTTTAAATGGTATAAAGAGATTTTCTTTCAGTGTATCTAGTTAAATAAATAAATGTTACGTAGATCTTGTTTAGTTTTTATTCCCTTTTTTCTAATTCTTCAACTGGATTATATTGTCCAAACTGCTGTTTTAGTTAAGGTCATGGATCCAGGTCATGAGTTTTCTTTCTATCCGCCCTATATTGTTATATCAATTGACATTACAGGGTTCAATACATGCTGCGTTTGGCTCTGATTGTCTGCTTTTGATGCACATTGACATGTTTCAGTGTATGTGTTGCTTCAATTTCAATGTAGGGAGTGGATTTTATTTTCCATCTTAGCTGGAACCTCTTATGACTTGGAGCATTTAACATTTCTGTACATCAGAGTGTAAGCCCTTTGCTGCAGTGTCTTTCAGTATATTCAGTCTCCATTGACTATTCTCACCTCTGACTTTTCACTCTTCCAGCTCTTTGATGCCCTTGACAGTGACTTTTTGTGGGAAGTTTGAATCACTTCTTTCAAAAAGTTGTATTTGAAGTTTTTATTTTTATTTTTAATATTACAAGATCAATAATTGTACTGAATATTGCCGATTTGTTCCAAGGGGGGAATCTGAATTAATGTCATTTAGTATTCAGTGACCATCACATTAGCATTTAAGCTAAACACTCAAATTATTAGTTTGGGGGAACTTTATTTCTTAACATGAGTCTTGACATGAGACGCATTTTGAAATCTGCAGAAAAGCAAGCCAACCACTGCAGGACCACATGATGTCAACAGAAAAGTTACAATATTATGATGGCAAATGTTAAGTTGACGGGCTTGAAATTGTTTTGGTATAAGAAAGCAGTAATAAAACACTTGCTTTCAACAGTTTTGTCATATCTTTGTTGAACTTAAAAGGGGGAGACTATTGATGAATTGAGTGTAAACAAATAAATACATTCACAGGTACAGAGCCTGACATCTTGCGGGTGAGGACGCTGTTGACTCCTGCAGGGTCCTCAGTGCCTCACTCAATCTCTCTCTTTGTTTTATATATATATATATATATAAATATATATAGTTGAGAACTGTCCTGTATATAACAGTAATGTAGCAATAAATGTGCCATTTTTAATAACAGATTATACCTTTTCCAATGTCTGGCTTTTGAATATTGTATACATAAAAAGGAAAATAAAGGAAAACATTGTAATAAAGGGTTTATTGTAGTTCGGGAATGAATTTGTTCATATATTTGCCATTTGGATGAAATGCGCATGAGTCTCTTGATTATGCAACCGAGGCACCACAATATATTAAAGATAAACCAATTTCATAAAGTCAACTCTTTCAGAAGTGGGATATTAGTTTGAATTACACATTGCCTCAATCGGGGCCTTTTTTTATATGCATGCATACATTGCATACATTTCGCCCAAAACTGCACCATTAGGATGCAAATGGTCCTCAATGAAAATCAGTGCTAATACACACACGCAGTTACATTGTCATTATACATGGCATTATTTATGGCAGCAGTAAAAGCCTGCGTCAATGCAACTCATGCGTTTTGGGATGCAGTAACAGGATGTAATGACAAATTAATTATCTTAGCCATACACGACTTAAATGAATAAAAACAAGGTTATTATTGGGCTATAGTATAGCCCAATAATAACCTTGTAATTCAAATGTGAAAATGTGTGCACTGTAATGGTCATATTATTTGTATGCCTGATGAGTCGGGTCTCAATTCCTGGTGCAACCAGCGCTGGCAATCCATTCTTAATACCAGATAATCTTTTTTTAAAACGAGTGTGTTGTAAACAGAGACCTTTGACACGGTTGCCTGAAATGACCCGTAGCAGTGTCACGATGTTGCACGCAGCACGTCGGTTGTTTGTAAACAGGCATGAGAAAAGGCAGCCCAGGGTCCTTAACGCCCATCAGCGTTAAAAGGAGCAAAGAACTACAACAAACAGAAGGTCAGGATGGTGCAGAACATACTAAATAAATTCGTCGGTGCGAAGTATATCACTATTCTAAAGACGTGGTAAGTTAAATCAAACAGAGGTGGAGTGGTTTACCGGAAACAATATTTTTTTAGTTGTTTCAAATGATGTCAACAAGTCTGTGTCCTTCTGTGTGACCCGTTTGGCTAACTAGCTAACTTTAGCTTAGCCTGCTTGATTATTTCCTACTGGTTCAGCTAGCTGGCTAGTTAGCATAATGCTACTGAATAGCAAGGTTAGTGGAGGAGGCAAGTAACAATGTTTATATGACACTAAAGATTTGTATTGGGTATTGTGATATATTTAATGCTCAGGAAATGTAATTGCATTCTTATCTTAAATTCAATTCTTAAATGTGGAAACATTAATGCCCTGAATATTTTATTCAACAGAACTGTTCTTATTCCTTTGCTAACATTTAGTCGTATCTCCTAATTTATTTATGATATACCTGACCATTTTATTAATCTGATAAACTTCGATTATACAAAAATCAAGATTTTAGTATAATGTATTAATGACATGAATATATGTTTTTGTGTAAGGTGTATTATTATTTTCTCTTGAGTGTAGTGTTGACTTACTCATAATAGTTCAAGTTAATAATACATGACAGCTGTTCGTTTTTGTATCAACATAACTGGGTAGCACAGATGACCCTGCATGAATGACTCTGCAAAGTGCACACAGAGAAATAGCCACCGCTGAACAGTGTTTTTCAAGGATTAATATTATATGTAACACAATATGTTTCTCATTATCAAACCTCTATACTATCCAACAATTGTAACCTTTATTTCATATTTTAATTTAGCCCACGATGTACAACAAGCCAGTTCAGTTCAACCTAGAATATTTGGTTCGTCTAAAAGCCAAACACACAATTATGACTTGTAAATATTGATAATCATACTTAACTTGTGAGAGTAGCAAGAACTGACTACATTTAATTAGGTAGGTGTGCATCCCGAAACTTGAAATAAATACAATTATATATTTTGTAAACCATCATGCCTTCTGAATCATGAGTACAACTATCAAATTGTTCTTGACATATGTATTGCAGTCAGTGGAGTAAATGTCTCATTTCTGAAAGCCATTGTTTTCTCCCGTCTAGGATACCGAACATGGCTGCCTGGGGTACAGTTGGTGGAGTGGCGCTCGTTCACTTCACAGACTGGCGATTAATTCTGGACTATGTGCCATACATTAATCAGAAGTTCAAAAAGGATGAATAGAGTCCCACACAACTAAATTGTGAGTGTATTGTTAGTTTGACCCACGCTAGTGTAATAGGATATTTTCACACACTCTGTTTGCAATGTTCCTTTGGATTGCTCATTAGCTTTAACCCCACCCATGTAATCATGATACGATGCAGGCAGGTGTAGGCCATGCCAGGTGTTAAACTGAACATTCAACTAACGCTCTTGAGTATTAGTTACTGTCACCTTGCTTACACCTGGCAGTTTGTTTGAACTCTTCTCAAACATCTGCACATGCAACCCATACTGAAGACAAAACGGTTATTATAATACTTCTGTAGTGCTGAATAACAAGGGAATAAATTGCTTTACACTTCTGTGTTATCTATAGCTTTGCAAAAGGGTCATATGTTTTTGTTTTGTTGCCATTTTTGGTTCACTCAAAAATTATGTGCCAATCAAACTGTACTATCAATACAATGTGACTCCAAATAAATAATACAAAAAGAAAAGAAGCTTATTATGAGAAAATAGAGATTTCAAATAAATATGCATTTATTTGACCTGACCCAATTGTGTTGCATTTTGTTGTAATTGTTCACATTTATTTTATTTTTTTATTGGTTAGAGGTTGAATTTATTTTTTTAATCTATGTTTATAATTCTCAATACTGCTATTGGCCCTTTTGAGCTTTCCTGCAGTGCTCAAGTACAGTATGTATTATTTGATTTAATAAATAATAATAACAATGCAACCTTAATCCCAGACATATCCATTCCTAAATCACACTAGTTGATATTTCTAAGCTCTATTAAGATGTATACACTTTTTGGAGCCCTATTCACCATCACAACCCATCATTTTTGCTATAATCCCCTGTAACCCTACTTGAATGTGTTTTTGTCAGAAATCCAACAAGACAGGAAGATTGTGCTTCTTACACATTTAAACAGATTTTTTCATGTACATTTTGCTAACAAGTTGGATTTGTGTTTGTGCCTACAGCTACAGGACCAGATTGGGGAATGGGCACATGGATGGGTTGATAACGCAACACAAGCTTAAGAGGGATGCCCTGGCTCGAAAATCAGTCAATGAGGGCTCGCCAGTAGTTGGGACTTCAAGATGCACTCTGTATATGTGTGGGTTTCGATCCAGTTTTATTTAATGTGAATAAATCTTTTAATTTGTTCCGATTTGTCCAGTTATTCAGCAAAAAGCCAACTAATTAAATGTTTTTGCTTGAATTTACTGTTAAAATGGGTTTTAAAAAATCGATTTGTTCAATGCTGAATAAAAGTGGAAATACTGTACTTTTATTTTTCATGGGGCAGTTTTAAAAGACGGGCAGTTGGATCTGAAAAACCTTATATTTGCCAACTCTTGATGTTTATTTGTACATTAAAGCAATATGAAATAAAAAATATATTGAAGACAATGTTTATGCGAAGTATGTTATTGTATTTCCTTATGCATGCTGAATCACACACATCCACCGAGGTATTGTGTGCCTAGCACACTGGGAATACCCCAGGTTCGCCCAGACATTATTCCCTTTTTATCAGCCAGACTGCGAAATTTGCGTGGATAATGTCTTTCATTTCTCCCATCGAAGGGGGAGGGGACTGAATGAGGAGAGAGAAGGGATTTAACATAGCGAGAGGGAGAAAACGAGATAGTGTCTTCAAGATGGATAAAAACGAGTAAGTACATAATCTGAAGGGATTTGAAACCACCAACAACTGTATTGATTGCAATTGCAGCGTTTAATGCGCCTTATGTCGTTTTCATAATGTAATTAGAAAGTATGTTTATCATCGATTAGACAGATGCACTATGTGGTTTCGCGTTTGAAAATAACAATGCTGTGGTCTCCAGCTATGATGTCGGTCTTTTTCCTAAGCATGACTCTAATATGCTTTATTAACTGTCTTGATATTTACAGCAAATGTTGAATGCGGTACACTGCGTCGACAGTGCTATTTCGACAAGGATTTCCACCTTAAAAAATAGATATATTGTGTCGGAATCGTTGCACAAAGACTCATTAAATGCATGATACGCTTTTTAAAATGGTGTCTGTGTATTATGGATAAGATCTACTTTGTTCATTCATACAAGCCGGCGTTAAGTTTGAATGACAACGGTGGGCATTGTCGTGTTGAAAAGGCTCTCCTATTTCACGAACATGAAACTTTCGCATTTTGTGTTACCGTGCAAAGCTACAAGTGAGGGACGACATGTTTCTACATCTTGAATATTTAATTAGTCACCGGCGTCCATCATTGTTATCATTGCATTTGCGTGAAATGTATTAATGGTCTATTTCGTAGCTGTAGTCTAATGTATGTTTCCCATACGTTAACATTGGAGCAGCCTTCGGCGTCAACATAGAGTAGAACACTTCCGGGAAACCTTTCAAAAGAAAAGCATTACGGTCATAACATGTTTTTAGGGAACTTCTAAATGTTCAATCTTCCCATGCAGCCCTCTTTTATCATATTTTATAAATACACTTTTTCAGAAAACAAAAGAATGGAAGCTATGTTACGATATAATAATATAGGCCTAACAATTAGTCAACTATAATATTTGAATACATGATTTTGACAACAACATGCTTCTAATTTAGAGGCCTCATTTTTCTATCACATAAAAAAGAATGAAACCGCAAGTTTAAACTATTAAACACAAACTTTTTGAACAACATTACGGAGAAAAACTATTTTACCATTGCTTTTTGAGTCTTTGAATGTTCTTGGCATACAAGTTTGAACAATTAGTGTACTGAATGTAATGTTAGGGCATTACTGAAACACTTTGAGGCTTTTCTATTCTGGGGTCCATTAAACAGACTTTACATAGAGGCAATACAACAAAAACAAACTAACATTGTAACCATAACATTACAGAATGAAGTAGGCTAGGACCAAACTAAAACACACACACTGAGATGAACATACATAACATTACAGAATAAAACACGAATACACCTACACGCATAAAGAGTATAAAATGGCATTACAACATACACAGGACACAACTAGAGACGTATAACACCAGCTCCTGACAATTCAATGATCATTAATGTGAAATAGTCACATGTCTCAAACGGTACATGTTGCTCCCTCAAACAAATTGCGATTTAAAGTTAAGTTAAATAAAGTTTAACCCGTTTATTCCGTGACCAATGTCTGCTGACTTCCTGTATCGTCCTGCCCGCGCTGTCCTATGTTTTCATAGTTGCGGATGTAGCCCTGGTAACCCGACTAGACAGACAGGTAGTGATGCGGTCCGAGGTCCGCGGCGGAGCGATCTGCGCGACGACAAAGACGAGATGTTGTTAGCAGGGAGATCCCATTACAGAGGACGCATGTTGTAATATGGTCGAAACAAAAGCGTAAGAAGCGGTAGGCCTTCCACAAAAATAAGCCTTAAAACCCAATCGCAGTAACTTTAAGTGGATATATAGGCTACTCGCGTGGGAAATGGAGAAGAAAAGGTGGGATTGCACTGCTCTCCCCAAGGGCTGGAAAATGGAAGAAGTGACCAGAAAGTCGGGTTTGTCAGCTGGAAAAAGTGATGTCTATTACTTTAGGTACTAAACGAACGGGGGCTTGCAAAACTTGAGTTTGCGGAAACAAGACAGGAGTTGATAATTGGGAGGGGGGGTCTGTGTAAAGTTTGTGATGGGAAGGAGGGGGGGTCTGTTTGCAGCGGGGTAAAAAGGCCACCAATGGTGAGATAAGGAGTGTATGCAGGCTAGTAGTAGCTGCAGCAGGCCTTATGATGCATTACACTTCCTCTCAGTTAATACTCTTTATTTCCCACTGAAGTGAATCAACAACGCCAGATTTGTTTTCATTTAGCAGAGGAGAAGAGCAAGATGAGGAACAGAGGCAAGAAAGGGGGGAGGCGGGTCGGTTGTATAGTTTGTGGTAGGCTAACTGTACACTCGTACTGCTGTTTACTGTGGTGTGTGATGTAAGATTTGCATGAGTTACTAGCACGAATCCACCCACAGTTTTGTTGGTCATTTCTCAGGATTTGTAAAGATAATGTTGCTTCCTCAAGTGGTACAATGTTTTCATTTAGAAACATTAGTGACATTGTGTTCATTGGTTCTCAAAGTTATATACAATGTTGTTGAACCTATTATACTCAAATACATATGACGCATAACATGGCTTGGGGTAGAGTGTACATCAAAGATTGCATCCATTTCACAACTTAACGTGATTTTTAGTGACATTGCTCATTTGGATGTGCTTCTGTTTGCTTCTGACTTGTTGCATGTTGTTGTTGATGTTTGTAGTTTTTCTGTCTGCTGTGTGCTTTTTAAAATGTGACCTGTCAGTTCTCCCTGCCGTCGTCTCTGTTTGTTTTTTGATACCTTCTCGGTGTTTTTGTAAAGAGATGATATACGAGTGTTTTGGTTTATCATGCCTCTGCCTCCTCGCCAGTCCATCAGGGAAGAAGTTTCGGAGCAAGCCTCAGCTGGCCCGTTACCTTGGAAACCAGATGGACCTCAGCTCCTTCGATTTCCGCACGGGGAAGATGCTGATGAGCAAGCTGAACAAGAACCGCCAGAGGCTGCGCTACGATAACAACAACCAGAACAAGGTGAGACAAATGGACTCATGATGACCAGCTACTGACTGACATTCAAATTAAATTCAAAGGTTTTATTGTCATATGCACAAAGCTACAGTGTAGAAATGGCAATGAAATTCTTCTGACCTGAGCTCCTCCAACAATGCAACATATAATAAAATACAAAATACATATACAACTGATGGTGACCTTGACCCTGTGTCATGCATGAAAACACACTGTACATATGACTGAAAACCCACCTGTTTCGACGGCCCCTTGACATTAAAAAAACCAAAATCTTAAAATAGCTTTTAAGTTTGATGTAGTCCTAATTTCTTTTGACTTTTTTAAACTTAAGAATAAGAAGTACTTGCAGGATTCTGGATGGTTCGATTTGCATCCTCTTGGTTAATTGCACTCATGGAAAGTGCCTTTTGAATAAAAGCGTCAGCTAAATTACATGTTATTTAATAATAAAGCATTAATATATTGAGAACTGCAGGCGAAATACTGTCACATAAAAATAAATTGCAGATTAAAATCACATGTTAGGTTTTAGTCCTTATTTTTTGTTTGTTTTCAAAATGTTTTTATTTAAATCTTCTGCAATTATTCCCAGGTATGGGCAAACATATTCTGCATTATTATGAAACATATAAAAACGTAGGATCAATAACAATGATTGTAACAGTAATAAAGCAAGGCAGCCCATTCCTACCACAGTTCATCCCATTGATTATCTATTTGTTTATGAACTCATAGTCACAATAATAACAATGCTTGTTCTGTTGTTTGGGTGTTATGAAAGTACGTCGAAAAAGGGTCATCACGTCTTATAAATGGTCTTTTTAGTGCCCCTGATTGAGAATAATATAATACCTTTCATGCACAAAGCAGCCCAAAATGCTTTACAGCAAACATAACAACAATCTTAAAATGAATACAGAACAAGATAAAACATCTACAGTGATAATATGTTAAAATTAGGGCTGTCAAACGATTACAATTTTTAATCAGATTAATCACAGCTTGAAAATTAATTAATCATGATTAATCACCATTCGAACTATGTCCAAAATATGCCATTTCTTTATGTATATTGTTGTGGGAATGGAAAGATAAATTAAAGAAGGCGGATATTCTTTCACACACACATACGGGTTTTGGGCCGAGGGCGACACCGTACTTCCGGTATCCGCCATTTCACACGAGGTGCAAGCAGAATATCATAGTCTATTGCCTTAATCAATATCTAGTCAACTCTAAAATACCACATATATGCATTGGCATGATAATATTATTGTGACAAGTGGGGTATTCACCTGGTGTTTGCAGAAGATAGACGTAGATGTTGCCAAAATCGACCGAAGGCCACTTTCGAGGGTCGTAATTCCATACATTGTAAGCGCAATCCGACAACCCACACAGCTCTAGTTTACGCTGGTAACGACCTAGAGCACACCCCTCAAGTCCAGAGATGTAATCCGAAGACATGCAGCGATTTCTTCGGTCGTTAATTCAGAAAAAAAACCTAGTGCGCTCTGCCTGGCAACGTTAGCTAGCTGTTTATATTAGCACCTCCAGGATTTTTGCACCTCCAGAAAAATGGCGTATTTATATATATATGGCGCGCGTTGCATTGTGGGTAGCTCGTGACGTCACTGTGTGAAAGAATAACCATTTAACATACAGTATGTAATGTAATGTTTATTATAACATTTTTCTGTGTGTCAAAATGAAAGACAGCCCACACACCTATCAATCATCAAACCGTGGGGTCTTAATTCATTACGTGTTGATTTTAATCAACGGGGGAGTACTTCAGGAAAGTCGACGGGGGGGGGGCTAGTGGAGTACTTCGTGACCACAGAGTGTGAACGTTGTGATCAGCTGTTTTAGCGCAGTTCTCCAGTGAAGGGGGGGGGAGTCTCCCTCCGCAGCCGGTTGGCGTAGTTTTGGCACAATTCCGTTGTACAGACCGACGTTAACAGCAGCCCTGTCTGTGCACACAGAGACCGACTCTGTCGTCCGATGATCTAACCGCCTTCTGGAAAAGCTTCACAAGTACGTCGGTACGCAAATGCGCTTTGTGACACAAGTGACGGTACGCATTTCAGATTACGCACATAACCTGCGTACCAGTTATGTGTTACCTGTACTACAGCAAAAGTATTCTCCGTCGGGACTTCCTGCAACAACACCACGCCGTTATCTTGATTCTGATTGGCCAGAAGACATTATCAAAGATGTTCTTTTGAGAAGACGATCACTACGTGACAAAAGTTTTCAAAACCGTTTCTGGTCTTCGGTATTTCCAGACAAGTGGCTACTGAAATCAATCTTACTAACTGCTGTCTGCAATTTACTCCGCACGAGTTGGCAGACTTTATTTTGCTTACTTTAACATCATTTGTCATGGTGGGGCTAAGCCATTTCTTGGTATGGGTGTAGCCTACCCCAGCCATACCCTGGCGCTGCCACTGGTGGGATGTATGGGGCGGGCCATTCTGCACATGCGTTAAATATTTTAACGCAATTAATTCAAAAATGTAATTACCGCCGTTAACGCGATAATTTTGACAGCATTAGTTGAAATAAAACAATTTAAAAATGTAAAATAAAAGCAAAACAGAAAAAATACAGTAAAACATGGACTATGATACTAGAGAGAATTGAATACATCAGCTTCTTGTTATGACAACCACCTGCCTATCCATATGTCATGTTCTGTCTCTTTGATCATTTGACATTCTCCTGTATCCATCCTGGCCTCATTCTTCCTCTGTTTTCTTCAGGGTAAACCTGACTTGAACACGTCGCTCCCAGTAAGACAGACGGCCTCCATCTTTAAGCAGCCTGTTACCAAGGTTACCAACCACCCAAACAACAAAGTGAAGACGGACCCTCAGAAAGCTGTGGACCAGCCCCGACAGGTAAACAGCCGTCACCTGTTACTGTTTAACACCCCCCATACAAACAGTGTTATCTAATGCTGAATGGTTATGTGCTAATATGAAACTGGTTGGATCAGACTTGAGTTTAAATATGTTGATGGTGTATTTGTTCTTTTCATTGCTCAAAGTGGTTTTATATTTACATTTTAAATGGTATGTTAAAACTGCCTGCAGCTAATATCACTTTTTTTATGTTTACAGCTGTTTTGGGAGAAGAAGCTCGGCGGTCTCAATGCTTTTGACATTGCAGAGGAGCTGGTGAAAACGATGGAACTGCCTAAAGGCCTTCAAGGTAAAATTAACACGGTAAACATCGATTCTTCAGAGAGAAAAAACGTTGTTTATTGTGAAATTTTAAATGTCCATTGTTGGGATAATCAAAAATATCCTCACATGAATGACTTGAAAAGGCTGTCTAACTCACTATCATAGCAGAAAAGTAAAACAATGTAAACGGAAAGAACAGTCACACGTTTTTTTTTAATGCAACTTTACATTTTTTAATTATTAGTTTTTCTCCAATTTTCACTAAAACAGTAATGACATATAACCGTTTCGTATCTGTGAGGCAATTCAAAATATTCTTTCCTTCTGTCATGCCATTAAGAAGATTTTCTGTATAATACCGTGAATTACCATTACTTTGGCCACAATAACTGTAACATATTTCATACCATCCAATGGCTACATGTCAGCATCCCTCAGAAACATTTATTCTTTGCAGTCTTAACATGTTACCAGGGTTGGGAGGGTTACTTTGTAAATGTAATCAGTTACTGATTACTGAATACATGGCTCTGAAAGTAATCCGAATACAGTTACAGTTACGCGTCTTAAAAAAGTAATCAGATTACTTTTAGATTACTTTCTTTTTCCATCACAGATGGGTATGTTTTGGTGAACAGGAGACACAAAAAGCAAAAGGAAACTGAACGTGTTTTTACTGTTTTAATGGCTTATCAAGAGCACAACTGAAACATAGCATCTGAAATGATGTAACAACACAATACACTTTTTGGGGATGCAGCTTAAGATGTGAGGAGTGAGGGACACGGCTTAGAACGGGCGTGTCGCCTTCTGTCCTGTAGTGTTGGCAGGACATGAATTAAAATGTCGAACTCAGACTTCATTTTAAGGACATTTCGGCCAGGGGTGTAGAGCTATATTTGTTTAAGCACCGGATTGGCAAAACAGGAGAGTGTGTGCACCAGTCTGCCTTGATCTATGAATTCATGTCCGTGACACTCACAGTATCTGCTGCCCTCAGCTGTTTTATAGAAGGAAAACCTCCTTCACTTCATGAAATCTCTGCAGCACCAGGAGGCAGCGGGAGGGTTAACTCAGCCTCTGAGAAGAGGAGCGTGCAGTGCCTTTAACGCACCGCCTTCACTGTGTTTACCTTCAGAATCATAAGGCTAAAGAGCGACCGCAGGCTGATGTGTTTTAACCACACACACACTAGGGGTGTAACGGTTCACAGAAGTCACGGTTCGGTTCGTACCTCGGTTTGGGGGTCACGGTTCGGTACGGTTTCGGTTTTTGCTGTTATTTATTTTTGACAGTCGTGCAAGTTTTGGTATGAAAATAAGGAACTCTAACATTTGGAATCATTAACTGTATTACACAGTTAAAAACAAACCACAAACAGTAACACACACACTCAGATGGCCATATTATTTATAATGGCTAATGTCAAACAAAAAGGTTAAATAAGCTGTACAGCTAAAAAGAATGTCTTGAAAATATTAAAATAAATAATAAGAAAGTGTTTCAATCACAATCAATAAAAGGCAATACAGAACTGTATAACATCTCCTGATGTCAAAATATAAAATAAAACAAAATAAAATCTGTACCTTTTAGGAGCAATGTCTAACATGTGTAATTAACTTGTGAGTGTGTGAGGCCATGATGCCTAAATAAAGGTACTCAAGCTTTACTATATTTTCAAGTTTTTCTTCAAAAAGATGAGTTTGTCTACATTGTCAGTAGTGAGGGCAGATCTGTTGGCGGTAACTATGTCACCTGCCGTCGAGAAAACCCTCTCGCTGCGGACTGAGACTGACTCGGATGTGATTGAGCATGTTTGACGTGTTACCACCTAGCATACCGCACCACTGTCGAACAACGCCGACACACCGTCCTCGTCCGATCCACAACTCGCACCCCATCATTGTTGTAGTCCACAGGGAACCCGAAATGTTCCCACACACCTGATTTAAAAGAAGCAGGTGGGTCTTCTAGCTCCTGTGTGTTGTGTGAACTCGCCATAGATACTAACTTTTCTTCTTCATATATTGTGTTCGTTTTGTTGTGTTTTGTTCTTGTTCTTCATTTGTTATTTACGGGTGGCTGGCTTTTAGGCGCAATACCGCCCCCTGGATTATATATAGTGTAATACTGCCCTGAGTGACAGACTTTTTTCCCACTCGTAAAAAAAGGCGTATTCGCCGTGTGACTGCATGTGCCGAACCGTGACGTCCGAACCGTGACGGTACGGGACGAATACGGATACCGTTACACCCCTAACACACACACCTCTACACACACACGACTTAAACGCAGACTTCTGTTCCTCCATGTTTCGTTGTTATCGTTCACTGAGCGGACCCGCCCCTTTTTTTTCAAACGCTCCCTTTTTTGGTCCATCTGCGGCGGTAATAGGTTTTGTGCGCTGTGATGATTCGGCTGTACCTTTAATAATGAATATTAAATGTTGTGAGGAAATCTTTCCACCAATAATTCTAATAAGTAATCCAAAATGTATTCACTTCAGGTTTACGAAAGTAACTGTAATCAGATTACTCGTTTTTCAAATGTAACGTGAGCTGAATACAGTTACTTGATTTTTGTATTCTGATTACGTAACGCCGTTACATGTATTCCATTACAACCCAACCCTGAATGTTACTGATCCTGAGCAGAGATCCAGCTTTGATGTCTCTGCATAGTGTCTGATAACCCCCTGTTGCTCCTCAGGTGTGGGTCCAGGCTGCACAGATAAGACCCTCCTGTCGGCCATCGCCAGCGCTCTACACACCAGCGCCGCTCCCATCACCGGCCAGCTGTCTGCAGCCGTGGAGAAGAACCCTGGAGTCTGGCTCAACACCACACAGCCGCTCTGCAAGGCCTTCATCGTCACTGATGAGGACATCAGGTGAGCCATCACCAGGGTCCCCGCGGATTTAGGGATGGGTATCGTTCAGGTTTTAACGGTACTACTACTTTTATCGATACCGCTTATCGGTCCGGTCTTTTAACGGTACTCTTATAAATATTAAATAAATAAATAAATCAGTTACCTCTAATCATTAACCCATGTTTGTATAATTGAGTTAACTCCGTGTGTTGCTGCTAGCATACATAACACCTGACGTGGAAACGTTACTCGTGGACGGGGCTACAGAGCTGCTAGAAAGACAGTCGAACCCGGTGCATTCCTCCGTCTGAATGTGGTGCACTTTTGATAAATGTTTAGACAAATTGCTCGTGTTACCGCCCTTACATGCTAAACTCTTATTGCACTTTTGGTAACAAGCATTGTCCACATCGAGACTGGAGTATAGCATTTAGCCCTGAGACAGCTCAGCCCCAGTGGCTTTGTTTTACTGTACTGTTCATGGTAACATGTCCCACTGTGCTCTCCTCCTCTAGAGAATAACCCTGGCCTCAGTGTATACAAGCATGCTGGGAGCACAGTTCTTGTATACTGGTCCTGTTTGAAGAGGACCTGGTTATCTTTTGTGTGTGTGTGTGTGTGTGTGTGTGTGTGTGTGTGTGTGTGTGTGTGTGTGTGTGTGTGTGTGTGTGTGTGTGTGTGTGTGTGTGTGTGTGTGTGTTTGTGTGTGTGTGTGTGTGGTGTGTGTGTGTGTGTGTGTGTGTGGTGTGTGTGTGTGTGTGTGTGTGTGTGTGTGTGTGTGTGTGTGTGTGTGTTGTGTGTGTGTGTGTGTGTGTGTGTGTGTGTGTGTGTGTGTGTGTGTGTGTGTGTGTGTGTGTGTGTGTGTGTGTGAGAACTGCCCCGCCCCCTCGCAAGCAGGCAGGAGAGAGAGATCTCTCGCCTGGATTGGAAAGATCGAAAATACTAAAAAGACGCATTTTGCATGTCAGAAACGGAGTTGGCAACACTAAAACTGCAATATAATGTTTGTGGAGCAATAATACATATACACATATTTTTTACATGTCTCCAGTACCGATAAAAAGACCGTTAACGTCGGAGCTTAACGGTACCACGGTCTTTAATAATTAAGCCCCGGGGCCCGTTTAATACCGGGGCTCGGTACCCATCCCTACGCGGATTCTTACAAAGTCTTAAAAGTCTTACATTTGTTTTTTGATATTCAAGGTCTAAAAAGGTCTGGAATTGTAGGAGAGGAGGTATTCAATTGTATCTGGGTTTCCATTGGTCTACTGCCATACCCTTTTTTTTGTGTTAATGCGAAGGCAGTCATGTTGGGTAATGTGCACTGAATATTTCCCGTTATTCAAATGCAATAAAACTTAGTAATGGTTTATACTGTTGTCTAGTTCATCGATTTTTTTTGTATTGGTATTATTTTTTCCTTTTAGAGGTCTTAAAAAAGTCTTAAAAGTCATTACATTTGTACTTAAAAATAGTGCAAGTACCCTGCATCACACAACACACATTGATCACCTGTTGTGGATTTTTTTTTACAATGTTAAGATCCTGATTGTTGGAGGAATATTTTGGATGTTTTGAAGTGGGTTTGGTGAGGTACTTTCACAAACTTGGAGTATTCCTCAAACTAGATTTTGGAGAAGCAGACAAGTTTACCAGCACTGGAGCAAAGTAACCTAATGGACAGGTGGAGCAGTAAAATGTATTATAGCCACCCCAAAGAAAGACGTTACACTTAGAATCATTTCTAAATGTAGTCAGATCTAAAATGTGTTTCCTCATTTGAACTTTTTTCCGTTTGGGAAGATCGATCGATGTGCCTGTGTAACAGTTGGGTTACAAATCTTGCTAAGATATTCTTCAGTTTGTAATAATAAAGCACTGTGAATAATCAAATTATGCACTGTTTATAAAATATTGGCATTTATATGCTTATGCACAATAACAACTAAAAAGTTTGAATCAGAAAGACATAATGAAGAAATCTCCGATCTGATTGAGTTGAAATGAACTTGACGATTTCCCCATCCCTTCTTGTTGTCTGTTCCACAGTCCATCACCAGTGACCCGGCTCTTTGTAAAAACACACCATCGGTTGTGTGCTGATTCAGTGGCTGTTATAGGCATCTGTAACTGCCAATTGTAACCACTTCCTGTTGTGTTTGTGTTTAGGAAACAGGAGGAGCTGGTGTACAGTGTGAGGAAAAGGCTGGAGGAGGCCCTGATGGCCGACATGATGGCGCATGTCGAGGAGGCTTCCAATGACGACGAGGCTCTGAAGGACGACGGCAGCGAAGATATGGAGAGTGTATAGCACAGGTTGGTTAAAATATAGGACTTCATTTAACCTTTAATTAAACCAAGGGAAGTTTCATTGCGATGAAAAATGTCTTTCACAGGTTTTTTGTATGAATCATGGCCAAGATAAGCAGCAGCACAGATGAAGGCAACACATTAAAAACAGAGAGCATATCATAGTCACAATCAGAAACATTACTAAATAAAATATCTTCAGTTGTCTGCTGCTTGGGTCAGTAAGAAGCACTTTAGATCTGTTGAGAGAGAACATCTCCCTGAGTTTCAGCTCATATTGCAGCTAGTTCCAATCTACAAGTGGTCAAGAAGGACCATCCAACCCGAGCATACAAGGAGCAATGCAGTGTTCAAGGTAGGGATGCTCCGATCGCCAATTTCGGGGCCGATCGCTGGAATCAGTATCGGCCGATCCGATCGAGTGGGAGATTTAAACATCACTTTAAATCTTCCATTTAAAGTGATGTTTAAAACTCAGTTAATGGGGCTCATTCACTGGAGCTTCCACAAACAACAATCAACTTAATTATTACATTCAAATGATGTACATTATTCAAGTTTACATTCACTTTGGATAATAACACGGGAGAAATTAGCGGAAGCGCTCTCTTTTCCTCTCTCCCTCTCTCTCCCCCTCTCTCCCTCTCCTGACAGCCTGTCAGTATCTCATGCAGCTCACTGATCCAGTAATGAGTGACCCGACAATGAAGAATACATATAATAACTAGTTTAGCTTGTTCCAGAGGTAGATAAAATAGCTAAGTGTGTTAGGTCTAACTCTTACGGTACGTCCACACAGCAGCTTTTCAAAAATCTTGAAAATCTTGGAGCTGGGCGTGTCTGAAAGCTTGGGGATTTTTTTGCGAGCAACGTGACCAACAACCAATCACATAAATCTCCCGCCCCCGACAAACAAAGCAAAAAACCCCGGGGATTTTATGCGAGCAATATATATATATATGTAAACTCCCCAAACAGGCGAAAACCTACCAGTTTCACCCACTGTCTCTGCCACCTCCCTCCATGCCTGGTTCCTCCGGTTTGTATCCCGTTAATCGTTCTGGTCGTAAAGAACCGGGTGATTTGCTACCGTAATTTATCGTTTGGAATATGAGGAAATGAACTGCGGTCTGGTTCTCCCTGTGTGTGTGTTTTGCTGCGCTTACCGGTCCGGCGGGCGGAGCTGCAGGATTTCTGCTTCACACACGTTGCATACCGCTATTTTACTGTCTTTTTCGGACACCTTAAAATAATGCCAGACCGGTGAAGCCATTTTGGCGAGCTTGTTTTGCCGCACACAGAGAAAAGTGTCATGTATTTTACGTCATGCGATCGGCTCTCGCGATCAGCATGTTTAGAGAGCACCGATCGATCGGTAGAGAGTGAGTATCGGCCGATCTCGATCGGTGACCGATCGATCGGAGCATCCCTAGTTCAAGGGTTTTAAAGTTTGGAATAAATCACAGAGCCACATGGGAGACGGTATCCAAAGAGTGTAGGCATTAAGAAGATGCATTCAGATAAACATCATCACCATAGTCAAGCCCAAACATGAAGGTTGCAGCAGACAAGTCTCTCTTTGGCCACAAACCGAGCTTGTTTCTAAAGTAGAAACGTAGCTAGCTGCAGATTAAGGTGTATTATGAGTGTTGTATTACTACCTGTTTCCTCTAATTGTCAATCCTCTCCTCTTGTAGGGATTTGTTCAACGCCCGCACACATGATCATGAACAGTGGGAGTCTACAGCAGTCCTGCCCTGATGAACTGTCCCCGAGTATCCCAGTCCTGAACGACCTAAAGAACGGTCTTCCCCCGAGCCAAAAACCCCTGGGAGTCTCAAATGCACCTATTCATTATTAACTCCACTAGATGAGACTCCTTGACTTCAACGACAATTAAATTACATATATATGAGCTGACATTTTAAAAAATTCCCTTGAACTTTCAAATATTAAAAATAACTTATCTACAGTGTGTCAAATTCAGTGTTTTATGAGAAGCGTATTTTTTACCGAGAGGCTTTGAATGGGTTTGTATTAATTTAGTGACAGTCAGATCCAAAAAATGTACGTCTGGATGTTTCTTCTTTTTTATTTTATTTTTTAGGGCAGATGGAAATGAATGTTTTGTATTTTTGACATGTCTCTTTTTCTTTTTTATTAATTGAACAGTGCTCTCCAAGAGTTGTCTGGCACAAAACACAATGTTTTCTAGTCAAACCAGTTGAGCTGTAACAATAATAAGTTAATTTAATGGGTGCCAGCCTGCAGTTCGGCTGTTGATACTAATGCAGACGTTGTAGTTTGAATCCTGTGTTGATCCATCGGAGGGCACAGTAAAGTTTTTATTGTTGTAGCTTCAAGGAAATCATGTACTTTATGACAGCTGTGTCATCCTGTGAGTAATGGTTATTGACCAAAGAGGTCGTTTGGAAGAGGGTTGTTTGACATGTATGGTCTGCTTGGTATTTTTACCGTGAGCGATTATATTGGCTATGCCGTTGTAAAATTAATATAAGGAAAGTAAGACATGAGTGGGATGAGCACAACGGGAAATATATAACTTAAAGCCCCTTATTATAGGTGCTACTGATGTTGTAAATCATGGTTGTTTAGGTTTTGTTTCTGTCCGAGTCAATCCAGGTTTTTCTTTATTGTTTCAATGTTACCAGCATAGAATATATGTCCATGTTTACCACACACATGCTGCCTCCATGTAAACCCAGCACACAATTGGTGTCAAAGCAAAATACAGTCAAAATGAGGATTTCATGTCATTCATCATCTGAAGAAAAATTGTTTTGTATTTTATATCCCTGTCAATTATGGTTTGATGTTAAATAATATATCAAGCTAAAATATTGAAAATCCCTTCTCATTATCAGCAGGCTGATGCTGAATGAATTTGATTGTATTAATTATTAAAATGAGTTGAAAAGTCATTAATTATGTTGCTACTGTGTCATTTTCTAATTGTGATCGTTTAACTTTGAGGTGTTCCCTCACCTAAGTAAGGGGGATAATATGGAGGACTTTCCAAATGTTGCTTTACAATCATATCTGAAATACCTTTTGTGATCCATGTCTTTCAGCACTTTACAATTATAGCAACTGAAACGGGTTCCGTCAAGCCAATCCAGGTTCAAACTAACATTTAAACTATAGTTTAACATGGATTTGGATGCACCTGAATCCTCTTAAAGTAAATGACCACATGTTCTGGATTTATTGGGGCACACTGCACATTTAAATGGAGAAACCCCTCCGTCCAATCACTGCATCCTCCCATAGATGAACACTTAACTTGATTATCCTCATGCCTCCGTGTGAGCCTGGACAAAGTGCAAAGAACTGTCAGCAGGACACAAAGTGGCTCTTCTGCAGAAGTGTGGAGGAAACTGACAGCTCCTTCAGAGGGACGTGTGGATGTTGCTCCTGTTGATTTAACCTCATAATGATATATACCTGCATGCTTTAAAGACGTTAAGATGACCTCACTGGAGCTATACAGCAAGGTAAGACTGGCTTAAATGTTTGTTTTTTCAAAACCTCTGAAGGGCTTACCATTAGTTCCTTTAACGAAGAGTACTGGTTATGATATAAAACATTACTAGGTCTGTGTGTATTCATAAGACATTATTTGTGTGTTAATCTTTGCCATTCATGTATTTTATAGAATATGTTTCAGTGCTCAAATGAAAGCCTTTCCTGATTTGTATCAACAGTTAACAGCTTTGGAGTTAAAACTTGTTTTAATCTTTCTATGTGTAAACTCATAAGAGTAGGAAATTGTAATATGTTGATTTAACCTTTATTTGTAAAAAGGGAAGAATAATAAGCAAATTACATATGTTTAGAAGTAGGTAATGGGTAATCCAATTTAGAGTAGGATGACCAGTGTTAATTTTTAACATCGTTTAGGAGCCTTTTATGCTGATGGCTGACAAATGCCTTTTCTGGGTGGGGCCAGGAAATTCATGTATCTTAAGCGTGTCAGAATAGAAAACAAAAAGCTGTAAAAAATCTCTTGTTTCTGGACTCCAAAAATGGTCTATAAAATGCAAAGTGTGTCAAACCTGCAGAATCTCTTCTCTTCTTTATTTAAATGTAAAAAAAAAATGGTGTGTCTGTTAATTTTGTTAAATCTAATGTGTTCCCTTGTTAGGGAGCAAGGGTGTGGGTTCCTGACCCGGATGCTGTTTGGGTGTCAGCTCTGCTCCTCAAGGACTACAGCCCCGGAGATAATAACCTGCTGCTACAGCTCTCTGATGGGGAGGTGAGACATGCTGTATCTTGATATTATCCACAAATCAATGTGAAGGCTCATGATCCTTATACAAAAGATGCTACACTCCAGTGCCTTCTATATTTTCATGAAACACTTTACATTTCCCATTAAAATAATTTCTATCTTCCTGATTTTCATTGACATATCTACACTGCAGCTAAGTACAAATGACAATAAAAGCCTTGAATCCTTCTCCATTGGAAGGAGGCCCATTACCCTTTGGCGTCCCCCTCTGATCTCCCCCCGCCGGGGAACCCTGACATCCTGGAGGGGGAGAACGACCTGACGGCTCTCAGCTTCCTCCATGAACCTGCTGTCCTGCACAACCTGCGGGTTCGATTCCTGGACTACAGCAGCATCTACACGTACTGTGGTGAGCTCTGAATGTGCAGACTCCAGAGAGAGGGAATTGGAGCTAAATAAGGGATGATTGCTCTACTTATAGTGGCCAACATTAGTCACAGCAGGTGTTTGAGATGTGTGCAACATGCAGCTCCTGGGTGCTTCTGTCTGCAAGATAACGGCTCATAATGATCGATATATTACTGTAGGTCAAAGGTTGAGGAGGGAACTCCCTCGCTGCTACTGTTTTAAGATGCAATTAAATGTTTCTGTCATTTAGATGATGCAAAGTGTTCTTAAAGTCACTATACCCAAAAATGGTTTTACTTTAATTCAAACTTTTGTAGTTTTGAGATGGCAACTTATGTTAGAGTTAGTTTAGTTGACAAAGGCATTGTGTTTTCTTGCGTCTGCTTAGTTCGATTAAGACTAAAACAGTGGCCTTTTGAAACTTAATCTTTTCTTATTTGTATTTTCGGTTGCACGGGGAATGCTTAAGTTAATACATGTACAATTAAAACATGTGTCATCTCTACTAAGACTTATATAAGTGCTTTTTCTATACAAATAAAAACACGCTCAATTTATTACAAAAACTGTATTTCTACATTATTATCCTATCAATATCCAGAGTATCTTACTGATGTGACTTTCCTGTCCCTCCAGGTATCGTGTTAGTGGCCATTAATCCCTATGACCAGCTGCCCATATATGGAGAGGAGGTGATCGATGCTTACAGCGGTCAGGACATGGCCGACATGGAGCCTCACATATTTTCTGTGGCCGAGGAAGCCTACCGCACCATGACCAGGTCAGAGGTCATGTGACAGCAACCAGAAACATTTCAACCATTATACATGTACAACCTACTTTAATTGCTTACACTGTACTGTAACAACCCCAGTGATGGTCTCAGCATAACTTCACTTTATGGGTTATGGTATTCATGGTATCTGTGTGTATAGGGAGGAGAAAAACCAGTCGATCATCATCAGTGGAGAGTCTGGCTCGGGGAAAACGGTCTCAGCCAAATTCACCATGCGATACTTTGCTGTGGTCGGAGGAGCGGCCCAGCAGACCAGCGTGGAGGAGAGGGTTCTGGCCTCCAACCCAATCATGGAGGTGATGGCCCATTTAACACATTTAGTTATTTAAAAAATAGTTTTTACCTGTCATTGATGTTTTTTTACAAAACACATGCTTTTACCTACAGTCTATTGGGAATGCTAAAACCACTCGCAATGACAACAGTAGTCGTTTTGGGAAGTACATCGAGATCGGCTTTGGCAGAAAAGGAGACATCATCGGGGCGAACATGAGGACGTATCTCCTGGAAAAGTCTAGGGTTGTCTTCCAAGTAAGTAAGCTTTATTGCATATGAATAATTTCCCATGTATTCTGAGGTTTAATGTAACTCATTTGTGTATTATGCATATGGTAATGAACATTTCTGTCTGTTTATGTGCATGTAAGGCATCAGCAGAGAGGAACTACCACATCTTCTACCAGCTGTGTGCCTCCAGAGAGTTGCCTGAAATGAGATCCTTTAAACTGGGTGAGACTTCAGAGGCATCCCCATCATTTATTTGTCTTGTAAAATGTTACTGTTGGGGAAATATTTTCCAAGGTCCATAACTTTGACCCAGTTTATCAGTTCAAACTGTCCTGACTGAGCACACGCACCTTGGCTGCTGTGCTCTCAGTGTTCTGTCTCCCTGTTCCTGCCTGTTGGCGTCAGCTGATAGAGGTGTTATGATTCTATCTTGTTATGCAGCATGTTGATTATTCTCTCTGAACTAGCTAAATACACGGGTCTGGGGTAGAGTTCTTCAGAATTGACGTGGCAACTCTACCGTGAAGTCAGAACCTCTGGCTCTTGGACTTGTGATGTGAATTCTCCGGCCGAAGCTCCTAAATAAACCATCAGTGTTTGACATCAAAGCTCCTGCTCTTCCCGTGTCTCCTTCATGAGTCGGTGACTCCCACTGCATTGCTACACAGAAGTTTCCCTTACAGTTACCATGTCTACACCTTTTCCATTCACTGAGTTCTGTATCTCTTGTATATATAACACTGTCCATGTTGCATGCAGCCTGACTGTGCTCTGTGTTTTTCCTCCAGATGCACCTGAGAATTTCCGCTACACCACCCAGGGAGGAGAGACGCAGATTCCTGGTACTGATGACCTGTTGGACCTGGAGCGCACTCGCAACGCTTTCACCATCCTGGGTAGAGTATGCTTACTCTCAGACACATACATAATTAAATATTGCATTCTATTTCAATGTAAATCATTGCTTTATTTTATTGTTATCTTATTATATTTGTATTACAATGTTCTTAATATAGCTCGCTATCTGTGTTCATTTTTACATTTTTGTTTTTTATTTGTATGTATGCACCACGACACCTAGTCAAATTCCTTGTACGTGTGAACCTGCCTGGTAATAAACCAGTTTCTGATTCTGATAAACACAGTCATGTTTCAATCAATTTAGAAGACATTACATTAACGTATATTCATGTCCACACTAATCTAACCATAACTATAAACACTACTGGTAGGATACTTACTCTAACTTGTCCATTGTCCCCATAATTAAGTCAAGTCCCCACAACTTGGCTGTAGAAACAGATTTATGTCCCCACAAGATTAGAAAATACAAGCTTTCTACACACACAAACATGTACACAATGCATCCACCTGTTCAGACATTAATGTGAATAAATCATGTTGTCAATGAATGAAGATAAATAATGCAAGATTATTGGTGTATTTGTTCATCATGCAGGTGTGCAGCCTGACCAGCAGATGGAGCTCTTCAGGATCCTGGCAGCTGTTCTGCACCTCGGAAATGTCAACATCCAGGCCAGTGGGAGAAATTCTGACCGGAGTTATATTGATGTAAGAAATACATTGATCTCTCCTCTCACTTGCAGTAATCTAGATCTTCTATAAATTCAGCAATCATTCAACTTCCTTCATCAGTGCATCTACTGTAAGGCAAGACAAGTTTATTTATACAGTACATTTCTAAACAATGTTTTTCAAAAGCATAATTGAAAACAGAGTGAAACAGAAACTCATTACAGAATGACATTTAGTACATTTAAAAAAACACACAAATTAAAACAAGCTAAAAATATAATAAGAATATAAAACAATTCAAGTTACAGTGCAGTGAAAGATATGAATAGTAATTTGATATGCCAGAATGCAGCGGCAAAAATGTAAGCCTTCAACCTGAATAAAAATGATAAGAAACTAAGATAAGATAAGAGAGTATATGAAAGATAAGATAATAAAAACTTGTGC